TTCAGCCCATACTCCCTGAGGGTGGAGAAGGTATCCGCCAAATCTGTCAGATGATCACAACTTCGTTTGCTCTTCACCAGCATATCGTCTATGTAGACCTCCATGGTGTTGCCGATCTGTTTTTTGAACATCCGATTCATCAGTCTTTGGTATGTTGCCCCGGCGTTCTTTAGTCCAAACGGCATCACTTTGTAACAGTAAACTCCCTTCGGAGTGATAAACGTCGTCTTTTCCTGATCTGGGGGATAGAGAGGGATCTGATGATATCCTGCTCGGGCATCCAGGAAGTCCATTCGTTCATATCCGGCAGTGGCATCTACCAGCTGGTCCACCTTTGGCAGGGGGTAGTCGTCCTTGGGACATGCCTTGTTTAGATCTGTAAAGTCTACACAGACACGCCATTTCCCCCCTTTCTTCTTTGCGCACACCGTATTAGACAGCCATTCTGGGAACTGTATCTCTCGAATGGCGTCGGCCTTCAGGAGTTTGTCGATTTCCTCGTTGACCGCGCTGGTGTGATGCGGGGCCATGCGTCGTGGCCTCTGTTTGACTGGCTTGTGCGACGGGTCAACATGCAGCCTGTGTGTGATTATCTCGGGGTCTACCCCCGTCATTTCCATTTCGTTCCATGCGAACACGTCTGTATTTCCCCTTAGGAACTCGATCATCTCCTCCTGTTCGGCTGTGGGCATCGAGGTCCCAACTAAGAAATACCTCTCTTCTTCTCCCTCTACCAAGGGCACCTTCCGGAGGTCTTCTACCGACCGCTCAGTTGGGTCTATCCGGGGGTCATCCATTCCTGGACGCCCGGACTGTAATTGCTATTTTTCCATAATCTCTTCCGGTGCTCGCCCCTTCTCCTGGCTGAACGCCCCGGCTCGAACGGCTGAATAAAAACAATTTTTCGCGGACGCTTGGTCCCCCCGGATCTCCATGATACCTTCTGGCGTGGCAAATTTTAATTTCTGGTGGAAAGTGGAGTGCACCGCTCCCAACGCATGCAGCCATGTTCGCCCCATAATCACGTTGTAGGGAGAGTCCGTATCGATCACGACAAACTCGGTGTCGATGACAAAGGGACCTGTGACAACTGGCAATGTGATTTTTCCCACGGGCAGGGCGAACGAGCCGTTGAATCCGATGAAGGGTGTCCTGACTTTGGTGAGGTCTTTGGGGCCAAGACCCATCCGTTTTAAAGTTTCAGAGTACATCACCTCCGAGGAACTTCTAGAGTCTATCAAAATCCTTTTGACATCAAATTTTCCTATCCTCAGGGTCAAGACAAAGGCGTCGTTATGAGAAGTCACTACGCCTGTCAAATCCGCGTCGGAGAATGTAATGCCAAGCTCACCCGTCCTGACCCTTTTACTTGGTGGCCCTACATCAACCTCGACTACCTTCCTTGTAAAAGCTACCCTCTTGAGGTCGGACTCGAGTTCCTTGGACGTGGGGCGATCCAGGGGACATATATGGATGACATCTATGATGTTGTCCGGCTCCTCGGTCGGGGCAAGGGCTTGTCTCTCTTCTGGCCTGGGCTCTATGTACTCTTTCAAATATTCGTCTCGGACCAATCTTTTCAAGAACGATTTGAACACCCGGTAGCTTTGGTGCGATGCCTGAAATCCCGGTGATAGGAACACCTAACCTTTTGATCACGGGTGGAGGGGTCGCTCTGCATCATGGGCGGCCATTTGAAGAACGGCTCGTGCTTGATTTTATGGAGCAGCTTGAAGATGGGTTCCTTGAACACAGTGTGAATTCCTTTGGACGGACCCCCTGGAGAGGGTAGCAATCCCTTTCGGGGAATATCTTCCCGCTCCTTCTCTTTTCTCTTAGATTGGAGGGCTCGGCCTTTGCTGCTTCCCATCTCGTCCTCAACCCTCGAGTATTTGTTTATCTGGGCCATTAGTTCCCCCATATCCGAGGGAGTCTTCTTGGTCAGGGATCGGTACAGGTCCGTGTCCCTTGCCAAGCCGAGCCGGAAAGATGCTGCTGCCATGACCTCCGAGCAGCCTTCTACCTCATTAACCTCTTCCCAGTATCGGATGGCGTACTGGCGAAGAGTCTCGAATTCCCTCATTCTGAGGGTCAGCAATGATCCAATGTCTTTGGGGCGCTTACTCCCCGTAATGAATCGAGCCAGGATCTGCTTCGTCAATTCCTTCCATGACCCAATACTGTTGGGGGGAAGCGCCTCGAACCACTTCATCGCAGAGTCCCCCAAGCTCATAGGAAACACTCGGTAGAGAAACCGTTGGTCCGAATGATAGAGGGACATCATCTGCTTGTATTGCCTGACATGGGCTTCGGGATCGGACCGCCCGTCATAAGTTTTGAACCGCGGTACGACAAAATTTCTTGAAACCTCCATCTCACCGATCTCCCTCGTAAAGGGTGTTTGTATGACTTCGTCCTCGGCCTCATCCTAGACAGCCTTACCCTTTCTCCTGGAGTCTAACCGGGCTCTGAGATCAATTTCTTCCCTAACGGGATGCCTTCTGAAGTCCTTGAGTTCATCGGTAAGCCCCTCATTTCCTGGGCGTCGTGTGGATTGGGTTGAGTCCTCCTCGGATTCATCTCCCTTCCTCCGTCTAGACAAACCTCGCCGGAGGTCGTCCAAGGCCAATGGCCTTGCTTTCCTTGAATGGTTGTCATGATGATGCTCGCCGGCTCTGGGTCGCTTTGGGGCCCTAGAGCTTTCTGCTTTGTTGTTTAGGTGGTTTCTTAGATCCTTCGTTTCCGCCTCCCGGGCGGGAAGCCCACGAGAAAGGAATGAATCTCTCGATCCTTCGCCAGAGGTGGCAAACTCGTTGAGCCGGCTTAGAACGTTTACATTGTCCTTTTCCAACTGTCGTAATCTATTGCCGAACTTTTTTTCAATCACCTCCGCCAGCTGACGAGCCAAGGGGGCTGATCCCCCTGACCTGATTCCCATACTGGTTTGAGGGGTAACCCCTCTTGATCGAGTAGAGGCACTTTTATTCATATCGGTGTGATCCCTTCCTCCGTGATGACAGGGAGCTTGTAACTCGAGACTCCTTTGGTGGGGTCCTTTCCCTTTCTGTCGAGTGTTCACCATGGTCACTGCTCTTTATAGAGAAAAAACTAGGAAAACTGGTCGTTTCTCACAAACGGCCCTAGATTGTGCGTGCAAGATCCTGCACAATATAAAAAACGAGAACAGATCTCTCCCTTGGTGAACTCGAGTGAGCCAGTTGAGTGACCAACCACGCTGCTTGGAACAGCCTGCGAGGTCCGGTGGTAACCTGGAACGACAACGGGAGACCCGGGGGGAGCGGAAGAACGATCCAGTAAGGCTGAAAGAGGTTCCTGGAACAAAGAAGAACAAGTTAGAAGGACGCCGGAGTGTTTTCCGGCGTATCCCCTCCGACGATCTAATCAGTCTTTGAGAGAGAGAGAGGAAGGAGAAAACACTGAGTGTGTATTGTAGTAAAGAGTTTTTTTGTTGCATACCCGTCTTGCCTTTTGCAAAGAGTATTTATACCTCAAAAACTCATGATTGCTGTCAGTGTAGTCAGTAGGTGATCATTAGGTACAGACAGTGTGCGCACTGATTCTGATGAGGAATGTCTTCTCTTCTTAACTGCTCGGGGTCCCGAGCAATCAATGCTCGGGATGCCGACGGTACAATGTATTCCTCTCGGGGAGGATGCAATAAATGCTCTGTATTAGGAGCATTTATTGCCTTTCATTTCCGAGCCTTACCGCATTGAATGCGGTCTCATCAAGAGAATGATGTAATTAATCGTTTGCTTTCCCAAGTCGCGTGTCAGCAACGGCATGCGGTTTCTCTGTCTTCGATGTGATATCATACGCCACGCGTTCATCCCCTATTTGTTGTGACCCCTGCATTCCAGTACGTTCTGACACTAATTGTGTAAGACGAGGTCATGATGAATAGCCTAGGCTAATGACCTGTACGTCAATAGCTTATCCTGGAGTAGAGGAGGCGTCCAGGACGGGGTACACCTCGGCACCGAGGAAAGGCTCATCTCGGAATCGAGGGAGAGATACCGACCGAGGTACCATATCAGACCGAGGCTACGTGTTGGTTGTAAAACGTACTGAATGCCATGATCCTATATGACGAGTACCTCGGGGGCGAGGATCTTTATGCGCCGATGGTGCTTGATCTTAGCAACAGTGTTTTGGTAATACCGAGGACACGTGTCTTCATCATGGAGTATTTCAGAAAAATCCCATCAGACGCCAAAAAAATTCCAACCAAATTTGCTCCATTCAATTAATTATTTAATCAATAAATTCAATTAACTCGTACAATTTAACTAGCCATTTTTCAAAAATAGCTCACTTTATCTATTAGTGTCAGGCTTCCCTGTTTAGAAAATATTGACTTATCTAATATCATATTTTTTCCGTTTTTAAATATCTGTCGTTTAAAGTTTTTGTATAGGAATTAAGAAAATTATTAAATAGTTATAATATGAGTAAAAAATAATTACACAAGATTAAAATATATTTATTCAATAAGTATTGAGAAGGAAAGAAATATGAAAGACACTTAGTCTCCACCTAATATATGACATTGAAAATTTTGAAGAAAAAATATTAATTATACTTTGGTTTCATTAAACGACAGATATTATGAAACAAAAAAAATTGTATAATATGATAGATATTTAATAACGGAAAAAGTACCTTTTAATTTAATATTGCCCTGCAAGAAATTAATCATAAAATATTTTTTATTAAGTGAAAGAGGAAAAAAAATAATGACCAGCAAACACAATGAGAGGGAGAAGAAAAGAAAAGGACAAAAAGAGTGGATATAGAAGCTTGCTTCTGAAGTTCTATCAGAGCCAGGTTTCGATCCTGGGACCTGTGGGTTATGGGCCCACCACGCTTCCGCTGCGCCACTCTGATTTGTTGTACCTGAGTTTCAATATTTTATATTTAATTCGTTTTAATTACCATTAGCTTGCTACCTCCTCACACTTCCAACAAGCAAACACTATCTCTCTCTTCTCGGTGAGACCTCTGACTCTGTTCTTCCTTCTTGCTGAGCAGAAAGATAGTATAAGCAGGATTTGAAATTCCTTCTGTTCAATCAATTGTTTTGTGGTGTGGAAGCTTTTGATCAACCAGAAAGATAGTAGTCTAATTGAAGAATGAGGCGAAGACCTGGAATTGGCGGTTTACAGAACGCTGTTGTTGCCAGGGTTTGCTTCCCAATCCATCTCTCTTGTATCCAAAACATATTTTAATTGGTTGATTTACAGTGTGTTTAACTTAAATTTCTATGATCTGTGAGATGAATTTAAAATCCTTTCTCAGGATCAATATCGATTGCTAGGAGAGAATGTGGCAAAGTTAAGAACCGATCTTATGAAAGAACAGCTCACTACTTTTCGATCTCAGCTTGAAGACTTTGCCCGAAAACATAAGGTCAGGTCACTCTCTTCTTTTTCTTTGCTTTTTTTTTCCCCGTTTATTTTGTCTTTCTTAAGTAATTTGGCGATTCCATCATTCATATCATGAAATACTGTCAAATTTCTTCAGACTCCCCCCCCCAAAAAAAAAAAAAAAATTCACACTCAATTAGCTGCCTTTAGATGAAGCTGGCGAATATGAACATAAATTTATTTTTTCTTGAAAATTTTGTACCACAATCCGTAAGAGATCGTACAAGAAACCTTCTTAATCAAATACTCCAAATTCTACGTGGGGCAACATGGAATTGAGTTCTTTCTAGTAGAATTAAGGAAAAGTTAGTCCAAAAGTTGAACTAATTTTCCTCAGTTCCGTTTTCAAGGCCCAAATTTGACACGCCCCAAACAGAATATAATGTTGCATGTTACTGTGAACAGAAAAAGAGATGAATTTAACTGTTTCATTAGCACTGTAATGCAACATCCACGTGTTTGTATTTTAGCGGTCAAAACATACTGAGACTCGATACAATTAGTGCAGAATGACATTCGCAAGAACCCAGCGTTCAGATCACAGTTCCACGAGATGTGTGCAAAAGTAGGAGTAGATCCTCTAGCCTCAAATAAGGGTTTCTGGGCAGAGTTGCTTGGGATTGGCGACTTCTATTATGAACTAGGTACGTAACAGATCTTCTTGATTATCTATATCCCTTACATGCTTGGTTGCATCTATAATTCCAGACATAAATGAAAAGAGTTGGAGTTATTTTATTCTTTAGCTAATACTGTGTGTTATGAAAAGGCTTTGCTGAGTTGGGCTTGTGTCACGTGATTGTATGTGTTTTTGTCCTAATCTGCTGGACTGATTGGTTGATGTTTCTATTGATGTTTATGATATTTAATTTTTAAGTGAAGAGATTATGTACCTGAAGCCTGCTTTTTTTATCGTTGTGCTTCTTTGCAGAAGAAGGTTTGTGTTAATTTTCGATATATTAACTGTAATGAAGCTACTTGACTAGACAGGGGTGCAAATTGTTGAAATTTGCTTGGCTACTAGACCACACAATGGAGGTTTGATCAATTTGGAGGAACTCTGTAAACTGCTTTGTCAACGGAGAAAGGGTGCACGTGAAACTGTGTCTGAGGATGACTGCTTGCGTGCTATTAGTAAGCTGAAGGTTATTGTCTGAACTTTTATGCTTTTTTCATTTTTTCGGAGAAGCTGCTTCTAGATACATTGCAGTCAGTAGCTCATATTTTTGTTATGATTTCAATATCTTGAGGATTTGTGGGCTAGGGTGAGAAGGGGGTGTTTAGCTTTGTTAGTGAACTGACATCATTAACAGCAAATCAGAAAATTAAACAATGCATCACATATAGCTGAACACGTTCTTGTATTGTATTGGTAATTTGGGTACTAAGTGGGGTTATCTTTGGGTACATGATCGTCGGCAAGAAGTTTGTCGTCCGATGACATTTCTCATGTGTCTAAAATTGCCTAGGGTACTTTTTAACCAGGAGCTGACCAATTTAATACTAAACATCCTTACCTTTATCACCATATTTGGTAATCAGAAGAAATTCTGTTTTAAGTTACAACTGAATTGATTTTGAAATTTTCCTAGGTTGATCTATTGAATGATTGTCCTCAAAGATTGCTAGACATTATCACTCATATTTCAGACAGCGTACAACATAGCTAGTGTACATATTGTCATTTACTAACTTGTATTTGTTTGGTAAACCATAGCTTATAATTTGACATTACGTGCTTCTTGACTGTGTTCCGATATGCTAACATGAAGTGCGTTGAATTTTCTAGGTGTTAGGCAGTGGTTTTGAGGTGATTTCTGTTGGGAAGAGAAAGCTTGTTCGATCTGTTCCGACTGAGTTAAACAAGGACCACAATGAAATTCTAGAGCTGGCCCAGGTTTATTCATTTTTATGTTTTCCTCTTAAACTTCATTGGCAATTAATTGATATGCAACCTCTTTTCAAGTTCGCATATTTCTTGAAACTGATTGTGAAAATATGTGCTGCATCATTTTGCCTCCGATTTTTTTGTGTATTGATCAGCATTAGACTAATTGTTTTCTTCAACCAATTTTGATGTTTTAAATTGCATAGTGTTGCATTACATACTCACTCACCTGGCAATGACTATGAAGTTCAGAAAAGTTATGGACATGTTATATCTCTGAATATGTGGCAGAATTTAAGCTGCAAAGAGTTGGGGAAAGAAAAAGGTAGAGAAAGAATAAAGAAAAGAATGAAATCTAGATGGGAATATTTCTTCCTGTGACTATTTGTTTGGCAGTGAGAGAAATTTCTCTCTCTTTGGTCTGCTGGGTAGGAAAAGAAAATTTCCCTTTCAATCCTTCCAAATGTTTAGCACATAGTCCAAGTTAGTTGCAATTGCCCTCTTTGTTAGAAGAAAGGGGAGAGGTGCCGCCCAGAGGATTAGTGAATTTTGGTCGTTTCTGAAGGCCGTATGCTTTTGAACATTTTTTTTAGGTGGGGTGCATGCCGGGGGGACAAGCTCCAACTGTAAACAAAAAACGCAAATCTAGGTAATCCTTGACAATCTGGCATGGAAGCTTTCAGCTTTCTCTAGATTACCAGTAGGAGGAAGATGGTTTATTTTCTTTTCCTCTCTCTCCTGATGAACAAAATGGAGTTATTAAGTTCTAAGCTCTGTTTTTTTTTTTTTTAATAATCTAATTTTCTTGGAAGACAAAGAAATGTGATAAAGATGAGTTTCGGTATATAAGATCTGATCCTGATTTCTGTTCTATATTTGTTATTTGCAAAGTTCTCTTTGTCGCCCTTCTTTCTACTGTTGCAACAGCCATAATACATGCTGTGAAGCATTACATCATTATTCTGGAAACCTTATATATCAACACTAGTATGATTGTTTGGTCATGTGATTCTCATAGGCCCAAGGCTTTGTGACGGTTGAAGAAGTAGAGCGGCGACTCTCCTGGTCTTCTGGCCGTGCCACTGATGCCCTTGAAACTTTATTAGATGTAAGTTCATATTGCTCTTCCATTTTTGTTCCCAGTAATTTTTTTTGATATTGTCCCTTTATATTGCTGATATTTAATTTCCTCATCAATTCTCTGCTGGACAATGCAGGAAGGTCTTGCCATGATTGATGACGGTCACAGAGACGGCAGACGCCGATACTGGTTTCCCTGTGTATCTTCCATCTCCTCTTATGTAGGAGCCGACACTCTCTAAGATTCTTCAACAGGATTTTCTTCATTGTAGACAAGTGAGATGTTTCAAGAGGAAATCCAGACAATTGAAAAACATGTATTTAATTGTAACTCGTGGGAATAAAATTCATCTTTTCCGGTCATATGATCTGTTTTTGGCCAAGTTAAATTTGCAAAACTCTATGTTTGCTCTATGGAGTATGTGTAGGCCTGTCAACGGATTGGATGCATGATACTGGATCGTCCTTGTCTTTATTTTTCTTGTTTCGCAGGCTTGTAATTACTTATGAAAGCTTTTGCCTTTTTCTTTGATAGAGAGCAGGATATCATGGTTGTAATAACTATGTGGTAAGCACTTGTTTAGCAATGTATCATTGGTTTGTCGTTGTTGGGAAATTGCATGTTGGGAAGTCTTGTTTTGGAAGAATGATGAATTCGATCAGCCACACAATGGGGATTTTTCAAGCAGGTTCAGCCTCCCAATCCCATGGACTACTGCGAGATGGAGATGAGAGCGATGAGAGTAGTGAAAAGTATAGTTGAAGGTGATCAAGCTTATGCCACACCTTTCAACGGTTGGACTTCTTCTCTTCGCCACCTTTTCTTTGCTAATGATTTTCCGCTTCCAGATAGAATTCTTCTTTACATTGCAGAGAGGCTGGTTTTGTACTTCTTATCCTCTTTTGCATGTTATGTACTTTTTTGTATTTTTTTATTTTATTTTTACTTTCCTTTATGAAAATTTTCCAAAATTATAAACCCCCGAGCATGGAGAGCGATAGGGCCAGAACCCGTTTTATTTTGGACTAGTCCACACGAATTTAAAACACATTATACAATAAAGAATTGTTTATAGTATTGAAAAAAAAATAGTATTGTATCGATATTTACTATTTTTGACGGTATTTTTATCACTGTTGTGATTTTTTTATCTATGTTGTGATACCGAATAAAAGTGATAAAAATAATTACCAGAACTAGAATAAAAATACCTAGATAAGTGATAACTTTTTTGTACCAAAAAAAGTGAAAAAATTATTGCTACAAAAGTGGTAAATAACCCATAAAAGTAATAATTTTTTTTATTGTAAAAATAAACTCAAATTATAAAAATACCCACAAAAATAATAAATTTTAGAAGTTCGGTACCAAATTTTTTTATTCGGTACCGTGATCAAGTCCATACAATAAACTTATATTTTTTAGCATGCTATTTAGCCATAATTTATGGATCTAATTTAATGACCTAATTCACTATAATCTTTAGATTGACTGTGAACTCCATTAAATATTGAAATTTGGTGTTGATGAAATAATTTTCATAAAACTACATCATTAAATCAACAAATTAAATCAAATTTTTAGGTCTGAATAGCATTATTCCATGCTCTTTATAAAAAATGTTATTTGGACCCAATTCAATAAAATTATTGAAATGATAATAGACTCCATTTAACATTGAAATTCACAACTAATTCAATTATTATATTAAAATTACCTTATTAAGACCTCAATATACCCGAGAAAGTTGACTTGAAGATCAGCAGAGTTTCAATCCAATCTACGTACAGATTAATGTAAATTTTGCACCAACACTTAATACAATATAGTCCTTTCTTTTTCAACAACGCAACCAAATGTGTAGACTTGTCAATTGAGTAGAGTGAAGTGGGTTTGCGAAAGTTTTTAATAAGTTTGTGTAAAAAAAATTTATTCATGCCTAATTTGTTTGTTATAGCGAGTTCGTGTCATATATGAATCGTGTATAATCAATATATAAGCGAGTTGTGTTGTACATATTTTTTTAATTAATTTTATTCATACCCAATTTATTAATTAATCATGTTATGTCGAGTCTATTTATTTATGAAACGGATAATTTAAAAAAAACTCAAACTCTCTAATTTTCTATCTCGTTCTACCATATAAATGAGCCGAATCATATTTTGTCACCCCTGCAAGTGAGCAGCATTGAATTGGATAATTTGGATCCCTTCCATGTAATCCAGTATCGAACCAAACCACAGAATGGATAAAAGAAGCATAAAATTCAGTCAACTAATCCAATCCAACTGGATTAAGTTGGAGCCAATTGTCCAATCCAATACGAACACATCAACCCATCTAAACAAACTCTAATTAACAGGAAGTGGTTTGCAGAGGCCAACAGAGTTTGTACTTCTCATCATAACAAAGAAGTTGCTATTAAAACAAGTTCTCAATCTCACACCAGCGAGTTATTATGGAGAACTCAGTGGACAACGATGTGAGAGAGAGAGAGAGAGAAGAACCACAAAAGGAAGAGTCTCGACGTAAGAATAAGTGGGCTGAAATGGACCAAGATGTGCTTGGAAAAATATTTTTGAATTGTTGGGATGGCGAGTTGTTTGTTTATGTATCATCTGTTTGTCGTTCCTGGGAAATTGCTTGTTCGAAATTGTTGTTCTGGAAAAGCAAACGTATAGATCTACGTCATGTTCTTCATTTTTACAAAAAATTAGGGTTTTACAAGGACTACTTGGAGATGGAGAGGGATGGAATGAAGAATGAGAATAATAAAAACTACAATCGAAGGCAATACTACTTTTGGCACCCATTCGAAGGGTTGGAGTCACTCTATTACCCAAATTTGCTTACATAATGAATTTCATGTTTAAGATAGAATGCTTCTTTACATTGCAGAAAGGTATGACTAATCACTCTTTCATTTCTCTCCCTTATCATGAAAACATTCTTATATTTTGTACCTATGGTTTGGCATGTGTATACTTTCCCTGGGGAGCTCGATGCTTTATTACTTATTATGTATTAGTGGAGAATTCACTTATATATAGTATTTCGAGTTTGAATTCATGTGGGTGAGAGAAATTGAGAGAATTTGTATTGCAAATGACACGGAGTTAAGAAAAATAGAAAAGAAATGAATTGAAATAGTAAAACTCAGTCTACATTTATTGATAAAGAAAGAGGGCCTATAAATAGGTTTTACATCATAACACTTCATCCTATCACTAACCACAACTCCTATAAAATAGGATCACACATAAGACTCTTTCTCAGCCACAAAATCAAATAACCAAATACCCAAGAATTCGGACAAACCTACCAGTGACTAGAGCTTCCAATAAATATTAATAAAAAACATTTAAATATTAACACCTCCCTTAAGCTGAAATCTGCAGAAATCAGTTTAAAAGAAAACTCAACCTTCTGCACAATCCTCCTTTACAGTAGCACTTGAACGAACTCCAAGTAGACCACGCAACTTCACAAATGTAGCCAACTTGAGAGGCTTGGTCTGTATATCTGCAACTTGATCTTCACTTCGACAATAAACCAGTTTGATTGTTCCATCATTGCTAAGATCTCTTAAGAAATAATATTTCACATCGATATGTTTGCTTCTTCCATGTAGCACAGGATTCTTAGAGAGTTTGATTGCTGAGTTATTATCACAAAAAACTGTAGTAGCTTCAACTTGCTTGAACTGTAGCTCTTCAAGAATTCTTCTCAACCAGATAGCTTGACAAGCACAAGCTGTTTGCAGCAATAAATTCAACTTTTGTAGTTGGCAAGGTGACAATTGGTTGCTTCTTAGAAGACCACGGAACAGCCCCTGTGCCTAACATAAAAACATAGCCCGAAGTGTTCCTTCTATCATCTTGATCTCCTGCATAATCACTGTCAGTAAACCCGAACAACTCTAACTTTTCACCCTTCTTGTAGAACAGCCTAAAATCTCTAGTTCCTTGCAAGTAACGAAGGATTCTCTTGGCAGCTAACAAATGCATTTCTATTGGATTCTCCATATATCTACTTATTAAACTCACAGAATACATTATGTCTGGTCTTGTTGCAGTTAAATACATCAAACTGCCAACAATTTGCTTGTAAAGTGTGATGTCCACCTTTTCCCTGCATGATCTTTGTTTAGCTTCAAGCCAAACTCAGTTGGAGTGCTTACAGGATTGCAATCTTTCATCCGAAACCTGTCCAAAATATCTCGCACATACTTCTTTTGAGAAATAAAAATCCCATTAGTTGATTGCACACTTCTATGCCAAGGAAGTAATGCATTATACCAAGTTCAGACATTTCAAATTCAACCATCATAGATTTCTTGAATTCTTTAAACATGACAGCATCATTTCCAGTAAATATAAGATCGTCTACATATAAGCAAACAATGAGTAGTTTCCCCTTATCTTCAATTTTAACAAAAAGTGTGTGCTCATATGGACACTTGTGAAAGCCTTCTTTCAAAAAATAAGCCTCAATGCGACTATACCAAGCTCGTGGGGCTTGTTTTAATCCATAAAGAGCTTTCTTTAATCTATACACTTTATGCTCATTTCCGATCTTAATATAACCAAGGGGTTGCTCTACAAATACCTGCTCCTCCAAGTTTCCATGCAAGAATTTCGATTTGACATACAACTGAAAAATGGGCCACGAGTTTTGCGCCGCCAATGCGATCACCAATCTGATTGTATCATGTCTTGCAACGGGAGCAAAAACTTCTGTATAATCGATCTCATATTCTTGTGTATATCCCTTAGCTACCAAACGCGCCTTATGCTTATCAACTTCACCATTTTTTTTTAGTTTTGTTTTGTTGACCCACTTTACACCAACGGTTTTGTGGCCTTTCGGAAGATCAGTCAGCTCCCAAGTATCATTTCTTTCAATGGCGTCAATTTCATCATCCATCGCCTTCCGCCATTTTGCTTCTTTGATGGCACTTTCAAAAATTATAGGATCACAATCTGAAAACAAAGCAAAGTGAGTGATTGGATCTTCAATTTCAGTTACCTCATAGTCTTCCATCCATGCGGGCCTTTTTCGAATACGACGAAGAGATCGAGCTACAACATCAGTAGCTTCTATTGCTATTGGCAAAATTTCAACAGTTGGTGGAGTTGCTTCTGATGAATTTTCAGGCATAAAGGCTGCTGGAGTTGGCTCTCTTTCAGAATCATAGTCAAAAAGAACTTGAGTAGGTTGCTGCCTATTCCAATCCCAAGTGTTTTTCTCATCAAAGACAATGTCTCGACTGGTCACAATCTTCTTGGTTAGTGAATTAAACAATTTATATGCTTTGGACGCTTCACTAACACCAAGAAAGACACATTTTTCTCCTTTATCATCAAGTTTCTTCCTTTTCTTATCCGGGATATGTGCAAAAGCGATGCAGCCAAAAATTTTAAAATAATTTACAGCTAGTCTCCTTCCACTCCAAGCCTCCTCTACTGTCATGTTTTGAACAGCAAAAGTAGGACTTCTGTTCAAGACATGGATGCTCCAATTTACAGCTTCCGGCCAAAAACTCTTTGGTATTCTCCCTCTTGCCAGCAAGGTTCTCACCATATTGAGGATGGTTCTATTTTTCCTCTCTGATACACCATTTTGTTGTGGTATATAAGCAGCTGTCAGCTCTCTTCGAATGCCATGAACTTCACAAAAAACTTCAAATTTGGTTGAACAATATTCTCCACCACGATC